GATTCGATTCGGTTCGAATCCGAATTAAATATCTAAAATCTCGAACTCGAAGTAATACCGCCAAAATATAGCATTTTTCGGTAAAATACCGCACTTTATCATCAATTCATTCAGAATTTGGTTCTAATCCGAACTGAATCGAATCTAATTTGTGCTGATTCGGGGAGAAAAAATTAAAATTCGATTCGATTCGGCCTGAAAAAAGGGAGATTCGCACACCTCTTATCAGGTGTACACAGAGTTGGTAATCACTGGTAATCTACACACTCTTGAGGGTCCTTTCAAAGGACAAATTTGTTGACTGACATGCATTTTTGTGCACATCTCGTCTAAATGCAATCGCTCATGTTTAATAATGTGCACAAAAATGCATCTGCCTCGGGACAAAAAATGGTTGTTTCGATTTAGAATGCAGGCGAATTGTACCTAGTTTTTATTGGTAATCTTTGGTAATCATTGGTAATCCTTGGTAATCTTTACAATTTGGTAATCCGGTGTACACATTTTTGATGGAGTTGGGCACCCCTCGCTCTTGGCGCTAGAGGCATCAGTGAAAAACACTCTATTAGGCACTAAGGGAATCAGTGAGTGAGCGCCCGAGCGTCGCTTCAGCCCTCTGCTCTTAACCTGCCTATAACAATACTAGGCTCCCCGTCCCCCTGTCCCTGCACAACAATACTGTCCGACGCCGGCCGCTTTGCCCTGACCTTTACCTCCTTCTCTCCTGCAAAAAGCAGCAACCATTAACAAATTACAGCTAAATTTTGAATAAATGTGAATAGAAATTAGTAAACAGAGACCTTTTCTTAAATTTGTGTTATCTGCTTTCAAGATAGATTCTTGATGTTTAGCAGATGATGCCTTAAATACCTAATGACTAAACATAAAGAATATGTAAGTAGTTTTAAGGTGTCAGCTAGCTTTTACTCTCGATGCCAGAAGAGAACCAAGCGAAGACCAGAAAACAATTATTTCTTTGGCGCTGCACGCTGCGGGAATGGCGTACGAGTGCCCGAGCGCCCGAGTGTCGCGCTAGGCCCCTTCCCACTACCCTGCCTAACAATACCCGGACCCAGCGGGCAGGACCAGCTCCCCTGCCCAACAACACTAGGCCAGCCGCTCTGCCTACTGGTCCCCAATCTTCCCCTCTACGCCGCTATTCCGACGAAGAGAAAGATTGCAAATAACACGCAGCCATAAGCAAATGACACCTAAACATGAGAGAAAATTTAGAACACAGACAACAGACCTATTCTTATATTTGTATCATCTGCTTTCAAGCCCGATTCTTGATAGAGATTTTTAAATTTTGTGTGATAAAAGTTTTGTTTTTGTCTTTTTAAGCCCGCCCTTCTGCTTTGAAAAAAGCTATCCAGCGGGCTTATGCAAACGACCTCGTCTGTGTGTGTGTGTGTGTCTGTCTGCTCCACTAGAAATAGATGTGCTAGAGACTTGCAATTTTCAGGGTAACTTAAGGTCCACTCCTAGAGAACGAAATGCCTACGGCAAATCCTGGCAACCACCCCTAAGGGTGTGAATGGGGGTATCGAAGGTTCAAAAATTCTCCCGAAAAGTAATTTTTTTTTTAGTGTTCTCCTGAGGGGTAAGTCGTCAAAGTAGAGCCATCTGAACGATAATTCCTCTCCGTTTTGCTCTATCTCTAACCGTTTAGGCGCTAGAGGGTCTTTTTTGACGAAAATAAGCTAAAAATTGCCATAGTGAACAATAAGTTGTAGAAAAAGGCATAAAAACCGCAAAATAGGAAAGAAACTCTTCCCCCACCCCAAAAAACGTTTTCTAAGCAGAAGGGTGGGTTGTAGTCGCGGTGCTTCACCGTTACATCCATTTCTCGTGTGTACGGGGCAAACTCAAAGATGACGGGTTTAGGAGTGGGCGAGGGGTCCCCCACTCGTCAACTCGTTGTACACGAGGAAAAATACTCGCAAGGTACTCGCGGCAACTCGCGACAACTCGCGAAAAGTTCGCGAAAACTCGCGAAAAGTTCGCGAAAACTCGCGAAAAAAACGACAAATACTTGCCTACTACTCGCGGATACTCGCAATTACTCGCATAAACTCGCGGATACTCGCTAATACTCTCGAATACTCGCGGATACCCACGCACCTCGTTGTACACCCACTTGGAGAGTGGAGAACCCCTCGGGAGTGGGCCCAAGGCCCGCTACATCATTCGATCATGCTCTTCAGCAAATCGCGTGACAGAAGTGGTCGGGCCGTAGCTTTTTTTTCGACGAAAATACGTTTGAAATGGCCACGATTTACATAAAGACGTACAAGGAGGCGTCCAATCGTAAAATGCCAGAGGAAGTACCCCCCACAAAACTGTCTACAGTGGAGCCGTATTCGTACAGACTATCTAGTATTGTTATTATGAGAGTTACAACTGCTAAATTTAGTTGATATCTGTCATCGAAGGGTAGGAATTAGAAACCCAACTTTTTGCCATAGATGGTTTAGAATTAGTTTTCAATTCTCTTTCAAATGGTGCAGTCAGTTTTGACCTTTCTGCAAAGATTAATTGAGTTTTAACTATACCCCCTCTCAAAGACTGTGTTTTTGCATCAGCATTTTGTGAATTTATTGGCTGAGCGATTAGCGAAGCCTATTACTCCAGTGATGATCAAAAAGTTTCAAGTCTGTATGTTTGTCTGTCTGTACGCACGATGACTCAAAATGGTTTGAGCTAGGAGACTCTAACTTTTATTGTAGCTTTGTATCATAAAAAGGAAGAACTTGCAGAAGTCACAAAGGGGGCGGGGAAAAGTAATAGGTACCCGAAATACGTACCGTACGCAGCACCAGCGCCAATGCGTCGATGAAAGTGGACCAAGTGGTTTTGAAGTGACAACGGGCTTACGCACGAAGCCGGACAGATGCTGCAGAAGTATGCACTTCTAGCGTGGTTCCTCAGATGGGCCTCGCGGTCTGAGTCCCGTATGTTGGCCGCGCAGCGCGGGCATACGAAGTGGTGCGCCTTGACGTGCGCCACTGTGTGGTGGTGAAAGTGTGCCTCCCACGACGCGAAGCGCTGGTCGCAGCCACCCTTCACGCACCACCCCACGACGACGGCAGTGCTGCTGCTGCTGGTGGTACAGGGGGGCGTAGAGGTGGCGGTGACACCCGAGGGAGGCGACCAGGCGGGCTCCTGTAACGGTGCCTCATCCGGGGACGCGGCCACGACAGGGGGTGGAACTGCCCGCAGGAAGACGTCCGACGAGCCAAATTTGTCGATGTGGAAGGCATCCTTCACCGATATCCTGCGTTGCGTGGAGGGTGCACTCACGAGACTTTTAACGAGGCCTGCAAGCAAACCGGAAAACTGTTCTCAAAAGACACAGAAACGCTGGGCTGCGCCTTGTTTGAAATTTTCTGTATTGGAAAAAGTCGTTCAGCTTCCGGGGG